TCCATTGAGTCCTATTGAGTGTCATATTTTCATTTAATTCTAATTAAGATCATTTTTTATAGACTATGCCCAAGTCTTTTTAGGTTCATCTCTGTCTTTCTTAACATAAGTCGAATTAAAACATCTACTATCCTAATCGGATCATCAGATGATCGATGCTTAATGTGACGAAACCATCGAAGGCAGCTCTCTCTAATCTTGTCATCCACTGGAGCTACACCAACCCTTTCACATATACATTTGTTTAGTATTGTCTCTAAGTGTCAAGTCACTCATCCACCTAAGCATTCTTATCTCAGCAACACTTAATTTTATGCTTCTCTTTTAAAGACCAATAGGTTTATTTGTGCATCACATGCCTATAATTGCATAGAATTATATAAATTATTTATGTTAACAGCTTTCTTTGAACTATAATAATATACAAAATGACATTTTCAGTTGTCATTGAACCATGCAAATATATAAATCATATTCAATTAATTACAAATATTTAATTCAATTCTTAATATATATTTGGTTTTTTTCAAATATTCATAACATTACAATCTGGCTATTAAATTTTTCATTACTTTTTTTTATTTTTTTATTTTAGTTAAATTCCATTCTTAAAATTTTATACATTTATTTTTCATGAAATAGAGCTTTAAATTAATCTTTTTTAATAATTTCCCATTGAGTTTATTTATCAAATTTAGATTTCCAACCCAAATGTTAAACACCAAGAAATCATTATATTTCAATGAATAATTTACCGCTCATTTTTCCTTGAAGAGAACTTATAAATTATACTTCAAATATTATCTTCTTCCTACTTGCAAATGCCATATTATCTTCTCCTTCTAGTCTATTCTTCATTATGCAAAAATACAAACAATATATTTCTTAGAAAATTGAGAGCTTGAAGTAGGGTTTACCCAACAAGAGTGAAGAGTTAATATCATACTCACAATTCCAATCCTAGCTAGAAGAACCAAGAACTATAGTGTGGCTCAAATTCGGTGTCATCAGGGTGAACTGCTCAAGAAAATTGTCTGTCATTGACTGCTTGCTTGCTCCACCTTGCCTCTCTGACGCAAAACCATGGCTCTTACTTGGTCGATTACCCGTTCACTTGTTTTCTCTCTCTACCCCCTTTTCCCCCCCCCCCCCCCCCCCCCACACACACACACTACACCCTTGCTCTCTTTCTTTCTATCGCTCTCTTAGAGCACGTTTGGGGCAGCTTAAAAGTGCGGCGGCGTTTTTGAAAACGCCGCCATACTGTTTGGTTCCAACTTCTCCCCTGCGTTTTTAAAACAGTTGTTTTATTGTTTAGGCTAAACAGTAACCGCGAGCCTTTACCTAGCCCTCTCACTAAACAGTAACCGGTGTTTTAAAGCCTGCCTTTTACCCCACTGCCCTGGATCATCGCCCTAGCGATCAAACGCGCAGCCCTCTCGCTACCGAGAAAAAGGTGATTTGTGGTAAAAAAATTTCGTCCTCCCTCCTCTCCTCCCTCCCGCGCCTCCTCATCTCTCCTCCCACTCCTCCCACTCCTCCCCCATTGATCTGCGAGAATGTTGTGGCTTTGCTCTTTACGGTGTTCTGGTTCTTTGCGTTTTCTGGTTACGGTTGGCTCTGTGGTGTTCTAGTTCTTTGGGGTTTTTGGTACAGAAACCTCAATAATGTTCATGTTTTTCTAGCCAATGAATTTAAGGAGGCTTTTTCAAGTATTTGGTTTAAGCCGAAAACAATTGGTTTTGCTCTTTGTGGTTTTTGGTTTAAGCCACAAACCTTAATTTTACATTTGTTCCTATCTTTTACTTGATTTAAGCCAGAAACAGTTGGTTCTTTGCGGTTTTTTGTTGAAGATGGAAAGATGATCTTGATGCTTTTGAGAATTGGAAAGATGATCTTGATTCTTGTTAATGTGAGATAGGAATTGGGTTGGATCCTTCAACTTTAAAAGGTCTTGCATGCTTGTCGTTCTACCTTCACTATCATTTAAATAAAAATCAAAAACAAAAAAAAACCATATGTTCCTCTGCAAAGTATCAAGTATTTGTTGTCATTCAGGGTTAATCCAGTTGTGTAACGGTTGGGGAAAAAAATAGAAAGTCTGCAACTGGGGAAGTGGTATGATGCAAAGTATCAAGTATTTGGGTGTCAGATTGTTCATTTAACTAAAAATATCTGCAAATCAGTTGTTTACAAAACGCACAAACCAAACAGTTAAACAGTTTATCCAGAATAGGGGCAGAGTGGTCATTTATCCAGAATCAGTTGTTTTTCAAACGCACAATCCAAACAGTCAGCCAGCTTATCCGGATCAGCTGTTCATCAGCAGATTATCAGGATAAGTTGTTTATCAGCATAAACTGGATAAGCCGCAGCTGCCCCAAACAGACCCTTAATCTTGGTTTGGTGTTATCCCTCTCCTCTCTTACATAAAGGATAAAGTGGAACTGGTGATTAGTCGGCTCAATTGAACCAACTCTTGTTGATACCCCTTTGATATAACTAATTTGGTGTATAGTTAAGCTATTCTTTGTTAATGAAAATAGATGTATTCATGTGATTGAAGTCAAAAAAGTGACTAAGTGTTAGTAATATAAATGCAACAACAGTAGACAAAAGTTGGCTAAGCTAAAGTTTCATTGGTGGAAACAAATATTATTCAGTTATCATTATTGTTATTCTAGAGCAAATGTGTAGCAAATTTGATTGAATATATGATAGGTAGTAACATTTAAAGCCATCATTTCTGTATATTTATTTTCACTATAATTATAAAGCATACATTAAAAGAAGTTAAAGTTATATTTAAGAAATCATTGATCATGCCAAGTTTTTTCGCATGCTATATAAATACTTATTATTTTATCATATATTTCTCAATAATGTTCAGAATTTACATTATCTGACACATAATTTACTGTGACAACAACAACAAACCTTTATCCCATTAAGTGGCGTCGGCTACATGACTTATTTTTCTCCATTGCGTCCTATTGAGTGTCATATTCTCATTTAATTCTACTAAATTAAGATCATTTTTATACAATATGTTGAAGTTTTTCTAGGTTTACCTCCGCCTTTCTTAACATAAGTCTAATCTAAAACATTTACTTTCCTAATCGGATCATCAGATAGTCGACGTTTAATCTGACCAAACCATCTAAGAAGACTCACTCTGATTTTATCCGCCACTGGAGCTACACCGACACTATCACGGAAATATTCATTTCACGTTTTGCTTCTAAGTGTAAGACCACTCGTCAACCTAAGCATTTTCATCTCAACAACACTTAAACTTAGTTTTAGAGTCCGTTTGCGGTAACTTGTGCGTTTTAAGATAAGTTGTTTATCCTGAAACGAAACGCGACCAGCGGGCCGGCCGCGGCGGTTAAAACCCAAACGCAATTTCAAATAAGTTGGTCAAACACGCGAACCAAACGATACCGCGGCGTTTTAAAAACGTCATCCGCACTTATAAGCTGCCCTAAACGGACCCTTAAGCTTCTCTTTCAAATGCCAGCATTCAGCGTCATACAGCATTATTGGTCTCACCATAATCTTATAAAATTCCTTTCAGTCTAAGCAGTACTTGTCTATCACACAATAGACCCGAAGAATTCCTCCACTTCAACCAACCAACTTGAATTCTACTAATAACATCCTCATCTATATCACCATCACTTTGAACAATAAATCGGAGATATCTAAGCGTTCACAAATTTTAATAATTTGATCACTCGTAGTTACAACTCTGTCACTAGAGCTACAACTACTAAAATTACATTTCATGCATTCAGTTTTAGTTCTACACAAATGAAGACCTTTAGACTCCACTAGTCTTATCCAGGAGAAGGATATCATCAGCAAAAAGCATACACCAAGGTACATACTCCTGTAAATGTCGAGTAAGAGTATCCATAAATAAAGCAAAAAAATATGGGCATAAAGTCAATTACTAATGTAATTCAATAGAAATTAATATTTGGTCAATCCTTCTTCTGTTTTAACACAAGTAACAGCTCTAGTATACATATATTTCACTTGAATATAAGTCATATCAATACCTTTTCTTCTCTAGAACTCTTCAAAGGATATCTCTTTGAACTTTATCATAAGTTTTTTTCTAATTCAATAAAAATCATATTTAAATCCTCCTTATCTCTCTGAACTTCTCCATCAAACCTCTCAATAAATGTATAGCTTCCATAGCAGACCTACCCAGCATAAATCCAAATTGATTATGAGAAATATTTGTAATACATCTTAACCTATGTTCAATTACCCTCTCCCATAATTTTAAAGTATGACACATTAACTTAATTCCTCTATAATTTGCACACTCTTGTCCATCCCCTTTATTCTTAACTTAATTCCTCTATAATTCTCTATAATTTGCACACTCTTGTCCATCCCCTTTATTCTTAAAAATGGAGACCAAAATACTCTTCCTCCACTCCTCGGGCATATCTTTAGTTTTTAAAATAATATTAAAGAGTTTAGTAAGCCAAAAAAACTCTCAAATCTCCAATATATTTCCACACTTCGATTGGGATATCATCAGGTCCTACAGACTTTCCACTCTTAGTTTCTATAAAGCCTCCTCAACTTCTTTTTTAGTAATGTGACGGTAAAAATGAAACATTTTATTATTATTAACAATATTAAGATCACTAAGATCGATTATATTTTAAGATCGATTCGATTATATTTTTAGAAACTTCATTAAAAATTTTATCAAAATAACTGACCCGCGTATGTTAAATATCTTTCTCTAAGAAAAGTACTTTCTAATTTTCATCTTTAATATAATTTACTTGAGTTAAATATTTTCTTTTTTCTCTCTTTGTTTGACTGGTTTATACATAAATTTTTTACTCTCTTTAGTATCTAATATATTAAAACGCATAAAAGAGCTAAAATTTCAGTTGATTTAACACGTGTGATAAGCAAGCTTCAATAAAGAATAACATGCTGGGCTAATGCAAGTGTTTAAAAAGTACCTCTTCAGGTTCCATTCTCTTCTTGGTGCAACGTATATTGTGTGACTCATCAACTATCATAAGAGACCATTCTCGCACCATCATGCTCTTCCGCAAACGACATAACATTGTAAATGAGATAACAACAATCTTAGGAGATCTGCCCAAATAGTCGAGATTATTTTGGCGGCCAAATACTGCAAATATGAATCGAGCGCCAATTAATTACTTGCAGGTAAAAACTGTTCCTAGTCCACTAAATTTAACAAGAAAATGAAATGAACATAAATAAATAAATAAATAAATCATATGGTGAAAGAAAGGTTCTCAAACAAACACTTAGAGATAAGAAGAAGAAATAGAATGATTATGTGGATCTTTTAGCTTGCAGACAATTTTTTTTTAACGTTCAAACTTAGCAAAATCGTTGTGTGTTCCTAATAATGGATTAATAAGTAGTAAAATCACCATATGTACAATTCATAGTTATCGAGGCAATAAGGTTGCAACTTATACAGTAATAGAAGGTAAGATCTGAGCATTTGATTATACCCATTAAGCCTGAAAATTTCATTTTACCAATTTCAGATGACCTTTGAAACACTCAGAGCAATTGTGCACCAAGATATTGCAGAGACACTAGAAGTGAATGCCTTCAAAATTTAACTTCTACAAATATTCACAAAATATGAAACCAATCAATACGTTATTTTCAAGTAGTAGCAACATCCATTTCAACCAAAATTTCAGCCATAGAAAACCTAATTAGCATAAATTTGCAATGGTTTGCCAGATATAGAAACCAAGTAGTATAAATTAAAATTGTTGAAATATTGTAAACCAAGAAAACGCAACCCAAATAAGAGAAATATGCGGTTATTTGAAAGAGTCATAACGAGGGATCTGGTTTAGCAATCACACTTTCAAAGATAGCCATATAATCCACGACAACAATAAAGAACCCAGCTCACAAGTAGCCGACTGAGTATAAACATAAAATGAATTTGTGAATAACATCTAGGCTAGGGAAAGCCAAAGAGAATTTACAAACAAACAAAGAAGACTGTGAACTAGCACGCTTTGAGATATCATCTTCAGTGAAATGTGGATGGTTGCTTATCTTAAGATGGAGCTCAGTCTTCTTGAAAATGAAGAGAGATTGTTAAATAACGAATGGCGCGTTCTTGAATCCGACAACCCGCGAACAGTTTCAACACAGAATTATAAAGAATAGTTAATGGGGACTTGGTATCTAATGAAATGGAAGTAGTAGAATGAGCCCCTGGAAGACAAATGACAGGAACTCTAGGACGAAAATGACTGAATTGGGGTTTGATTAAAACCATAAAAGAAACTGGTGTGGAGTCAAATGAGGATGATTTGAGATCATAGAGAGAGAAAATGAATGCCGACATGTGCTCCATGGTCAAATAAAGACTTTAGCAACATAAATTTTGAAGCAAGAAAATGGAGAAAGACTCAAGGAAGAGAAATGATTAACAAGCAATAAGGGAGGCAAGATCATAGTTCTAGACATCTCACAACCAAGCACAAGAGAATGGTGGGTAGCATTGTACTCACAAAACAACTATCTATTGGCTTAAGGAGGGTAGACTAACAAGCACGCTAGTGCACAAGCCTAGCGAAAGCAAACCTCACTTCGAGAGCCGAAAGAAACGACAAAGCAAGAGGTTGAAGGGGGTGCAAACATGCAGCGGACGAGACAAATCATCTTTAGATGAGGATTTTTAAAAAGTGAAAATTAAAACTTAAGAAATATTAATTCTCTATGACTGCAAACGATAACATTCCCAAGGTTATTTTAGTTGGGGAGATCGTACTTGAGCATTAATTGATTTTAATATCATCTTCATGTTCGACACTTTTACCAATTTTTTGAAAAATACAGCAAAGGGCTAAAATTTTTTTCTTATTTGCTCATTCTTTGCTTTCTAAAATATTCATTACCCTACCCTTATTCTTCTACAATCCAACTCTTCTCAACTTTCTCCTTTCTCTGCTTTGCCAATAATAAAAAAAGAGAAAACAAAGGAAAAGAGGAAGACAAAAGACCAAACGTAGATGAAGGGATGGAGACATGGAAGCTTGATATGTTATAAGAAAATGACAAGGGCCTCACCCCTCAAGGTATACTCTTCTCAGCCTAGTCACATACAGTCTAACAGCCTATATATATTGAATGGATATTTTATGTCTAACTAAACGAAATGCTAGAACACTTTACTTGGCTCACGACATTTCCAGATTTTTTTAGAAATTTTATGGTGGGAAATAAATTTTTAAACCTGTTCTCTACGTCATTTATTTTGTATCTTTAGGATGACGATTTTACCCTCAAATAAATATTGTATAAAATTACGAAGAATATAAATCCAGAAAGACATTACAAGTGCCCTGATGCCCTAACTGCCAATTGCAGACACGATTCTCTCATCTTTCATATGATACCGGGGTTAACCCAAACCACATTAGAAAATTAAAATATTATTACTGAAAGCAAATAAATAGTTAAAACCAATACTTGAAAGGGAAAATAGAACACACACGACACACAAACTCAAGTTAGGACGGATCCTAGGTGATGGTGGAGATACTAAGGGGCTTGGTGAGGTAGTGGCAAGGTAGGGAAGGGATTTTCGGGCTGTGAATAAGGAGAGGCAGCAATTATGAGTGGCTAGAACAGCAGGGCAGTAAGGGACGGCAGTCCCAAAAGTGGCATTTTGCTGTTTGGGGAGGCTGGCAGCAGGAAAACGGCAAGAGGAGGTGTGGCGAGCTGTGGTGGAGACGGTGGGGGGCTAGGACACCGAGGGCGCAAGGTATGTGGCGGCTAGAAGGCTGTGGACTGTCAGAAACAGCAAGAGGAAAGGTTGGCGACTGATTCGGGAAAAGTGCAGTGGAAATTGTGGAAGAGACGTGGCTGGAAAGAGGAGAACTCCAGGAAAGAACAGCAATGATGGCAATCCTGGGCGGTTGCAGCGAGGTGTGGGGAAGGAAAGTCGAAATAAATACTTTCTCGGGAATGAGCTACAACCGAAACACCACTCGACTCTTGGAACAATGTCACCACATCAATGAGCTACAGCCGAAGCGCTACCCGCCTTTGGATACAACCCGAGAAGGGAGAAATCATGATGGCGACAATTGTCCTGAACATACACACAAAAAACTCTCAAACTAAAACACAAAAAACAAATATAGTAAAAGGATAATTAGGAATGGCCCAAAAGGACCAGCCGCTCCTAAGCGTCGAAAAAAACCAGGACCGGTTTGGTCCAGGTATGAATAGGGGGTCGTTTTTCAGTCTCAAAGCTTCATAATTTCATTTTATAACAAATCTTCATCATAGGATTTTGATTTATTGCTATATGTCATAAAATTCAGTGACCTTGAAGCACAAGCATAAGAACTATAACATGCAAAGCAAAAAAGCCCACTTCCAAATCAATATCAATAAACAGTAAAAATTACCAAGATGTATGTCCTTTGGTAAAAGGTAAGGTAGCCAGTGCTCTAACTCTTCCGCCCAAGAAAACCGCAAAATAGCAGGACAAACGATTAATACAGGACCCTCGTCCATAAAGCAACAAGCAATTGCAATAGCCTGCAAATAGAAACGAGAAGAATGAAAGACTCACGTATTTCAAAAGGCAATAAATCATATATAAATTCCTTCTTCATCGAGTCAATTTGATTTATAAATATTCGAAAAATAACAATACATGTCCTCATAGATTTCCCATAGATAAAAGTATTGTCAACAAAAAATAAAACCCAAAAGGGGAGATAATAATACATCAAAAATATTTGAAAAAAGAAAGAGCATAATGACCATGAACTGCTTACACCCAATATTGTTAAGCTCAATCATCATTATCAAGAATGGAATAGTAAATATAGGCAGCCATTCTTCAAAGAAAATAGTAATGTAACTGATGAATAGTTGAATACCTCGATCAGTTATACCTAACAAATAAATCTACCATTAAATGCCTAATCAACTGATTGATTTCAATCCTAAATTTTGTAAAACAAACCATTGCCAAGCTTATAACAAGTCATTAAAATATGTATACTAGAGTTGTTACTCGTGTTTGAAAATATATATATATTACATATCAAGCATGTCAACAACCGATGAAGTAGTGAGATGCTAGATATTATTTTGTTGAGGGAGTTTAAAGCAATGATTCACTCTATAAAATTTAGGTTTTAATAATTATGTTGATTCCTAGGTTTGAAAAGGTAGGGCTGTCAAAAAAGCTCATTGTTCGCGAACAGTTTATGTTCAATTCGTCAATGAGTTTGTGTTCGATTTGTTCGATAAATAAACGAGACGAACGTGAATAATTTTTTTTCGTTCGGTTAGTTAAACGAACCAAACACGAACAATGATGCGTTCATTCGTGTTTGAATCATTATTGTTCAAAATATAAAATAATTTAAAATAATTTTTATGATATTTTAAAAAATTAAATTTTATAAATTATAATATATAATAAACTAATAATAATAATACATTAATATACTATATTAGTCTTAGAAATGTCAAACTGACTCGTCGTTCGCGAACAGCTCGTGTTCGGTTCGTTCGTTAAGAAATGAACACGAACAGTGACTTCACGAACAATTTCGAACACAAGTTTATTTCAAATAAACTAAATTTCAAACGAATCCAACATGAACACAAGCTTTGTTCGTTCGTGTTCGGTTCGTTTACACCCCTATGAACAGGAGGAGGATTGACAAAATGTTTTTTCTATTTCAGTTGGATTACATCATGGATTGGCTTTAAGCCGTATCTTTTTGCTTTAGTTATGGATACTCTTACGGGACATTTACAGAAGATGAACTTTGGTGTATGCTTTCGCTGATGACATCCTCCTTGTGGATAAGACCAATGAAAAAGTTCATGAAAAACTTGAATTATGGAGGTATACATTGGAGTCTAAAGGCCTTCGTTTGAGTAGAACTAAAACTGAATACGTTGAATGTAATTTTAGCAATAGTAGCTCTAGTGACAGTGTTGTAACTATGGGTGATCAAATTATTAAAAGGAGTGAACATTTTAGATATCTTCGGTCTATTGTTCAAAATAATGGGGAAGTTATTAGTAGAATTAAAGTTGGTTTGTTTAAGTGGAGGAATGTTTTGGGCCTATTGTGTGATAGAAAAGTACCGCTTAGACCGAAAGGAAAATTTTATAAGATGGTGGTGAGACTTACAATGCTCTATGGCGCTGAATGTTGGCTTTTATAAGAGAAGCATAAAACTAAGTTAAGTGTTGTCGAGAAGAGAATGCTTAGGCGGATGAGTGGCTTTACACTTAGAGACAAAATGTGAAATGAATATATATGTGATAGAGTTAGTGTAGCTCCAGTGGCGGACAAAATTAGAAAGAGTCATCTTAGATGGTTTGGTCACATTAAACATCGGTCATCTGATGATCTGGTTAGGGGAGTAGATGTTTTAAATTCGACTTATGTTAAGAAAGGGAAATGTAGAGCATGAAATACTTGGGCATATTGTATAAAAAAATATCTTAATCCATTATAATTAACTGAAAATAGGACACTCAATAGGACGCAATGGAGAAAATGATTCATGTAGCCGACCCCACTTAGTAGGATAAAGGCTTGTTGTCGTTGTTGTATTAAACAAGGCAAAACCCTGAAATTTAGAAAAACATAATCCTAGCTCAAATACTCGCACATATTACATGCAATATAGATTTGTCAATTTAACTATCCCAATAAATCTTGATATCAAGATCCAAAAAATGTCAAATCCCATGTATACTAACGCAATCTATTATTTTTTTATTAAAACGCACACAAAATCTAAGAAGAAAAATAGTATGATTTAAGTAAGATGGAAGATATGTTTGCAAAATAAAAATAATGCAGCCTATTAAGTGTTGTCAGCATATAGTTATTAAAAAAACTTTGGCTTGTTATATAAAACCCAAAGTTACATACAAATTAATTTCAATCATCTCTGCATCAGGTTTACATGAAAGAAAATCAAACAATAAGCTCCATTGCTTAGCTTTCTCCATTACTATAACAAAATTTTCAATTATACTGTATGATTGACTCAATTTAAAATGGCATTAGGTGATTCAAACCAATGCTATAAATAAGAAAACCAAAACAAAATTAAAATGGTAATTTATGCAAAGAAGCTAATGCGGGATGCATTACTGGACACGTTGCGGACCACAAGATTTGAGTGCAGCCCATGAGAACTTCAAAAAGACTAACATTGATTGCCCTAGAGAGTAGTGAGTTCGAGATAATGAACTTTCATATTTAATTTGAGAATGTGATGTCACGAGCTACTTTTTATCAGACATTAAGAGGAGCATCAGCAAATCTGACATTAATTGTCCAAAAGAGTCATGAGTTTGAGGAATTAATATCAGACATAAGGCAACCACATATAAGATAATTTCAAAATTTTCAGACATACAATCTACCTCCTGAGTTGCCACTAGCAAAGGAGGTTCAACATATTAGAGATAAGAAGCTTTTGAGCTATTTACGAGAGGCTATATGCAGTAATTTGCATATTAAACTACAATTTAGTTCAATAGTGTCGTCCCGGACTGATGGCCAGGCAGGATTGATGAACCGTAGCTTTGAAAATTACCTTATGTGTTTTGTGACAAAGAACAACTGGCAATGGGATACAGATCCTTCCCAAGAAGAAGACGAGCCCCCTCCTACCCAGAGAAAATAATGTGTGACGTGTTGCTGAATGCAAGCTCACATTTGCGTTGAACGTGGACATGTGATTCACATTTCCCCGAGATAACAGAAGCAGGTCGCAAGCAAGCCGCGGGAATTTTCTACTTACGCTTGAACCAGGATGATTGAGCCAAAATTGGGGCTTTCCCGCTTGGGTTTTTTGATTCCAACATGATTTCCTTCCCTTTTTTGACTTTTTTCCTTTCTTTATTTCTAATTTGATATTTTCTATTGTGAGAATATTGAAATTTTTTAAAATTTTGAGAGACTTTTTTCTTTGAGTTGAAACTTTGGAGATTGCAATCTTTGTTTCTACCCTAAAATGTGTTGCATCTTTTTTCCTTTTGCAAGTGATATGCTTGTATCTTGCTTAGGAATGTGTTGGGGCCTCCTCACCGCCAGTTTCTCAACGTTTCATCGTCCCACTTGCTAATCTCAGATAGGACTGTCGTAGATGACGTTGAAACTACTGTCCAACGGCAAATTTATTCCCTTCATCCCTTCCAAACAATGTCGACCACACATATTAGCCTTCCCTCGCTAATTCACAACCACCTCCCCATGAAATATGCTTCCCAAATACCTTCTAAGAGCCCTTGAACAGTATCAAAATCATAAAGCGCAAACAAAGTGCATGGTTCATCATTGAAGTATGCATCTAGAAACAAACAAAACACTCACTCTGTAACATTGAGAAATAAGGTGCAAAGATACTTAAATTTATCTATGGCGCCATTGATTATGGCCTAAAGGAAGAGAGATGTGGAGAATTTGTAATCTAATTATTAAGGTCATACATGTTCGAAGCCGAACACAACATGCAAAGGATTTTTCCTTTTAAATATGAAACAAAAATAAAGTGCAAGTAAAAAAAACATAATATATTAATATATTATTTAACAAAATCATCAATCAAGATTATGAAATGAACTATAACATTTTAATTGAAAGTGTATCAAAGGAAATCATAACCAAGTAACAAGTAATAGATCACACAAGTGGAGTAACGATCAACAAACAAAAACAATCGAGCATTGAATAGGTATTCTGCTTCAACTGAGAAGAAGGAGAGGAGTGTGCTCATCTGCCACTCTCCTAAGTGAAAATGAATCATGTGTCTTTTCTTTTGATTGTGCTTTACTATGCAAGATCTACCCATTATAGAGTCATGTGAAATCTAATCTGTTTGCTCCATGCTACGGTTAAAGTGTGCACTTATTTGTGCTTTTAAAACACTTGAAATTGCTTATATTACAATGTTAAATGTGTGTAGTGTTTTATGGCCAACTCCCATGAAAAGTAAAGCAATAACGTAAGAATTATGTGTCCTCCTCTCTGAGAGCACTCCAACTATCCTCGCATCAAGCTTCTAGAAATTTCCACAGAAATTACAAGGGATAATCTTCAGAATAGCAATTCAAGATTCTGCATTCCAATTGAATAAAACAGCCAAGGATCTCTATTCAAATATGCTTCGAACAAGACAAAAACAACGTAAGAACGTAAAACAAGCGATTCAAATCAAAGTAGCTCATATATTATGAATGTCACAACCCAGCCCGGAACTTGGACCTAACTTGCAAATTTGAAATGCAATCAAAAGTTAATGCAACATAATTCACTAAACTAAGGCCCACCGTGTGCATTTTCTATATTTGTGATTTAGAATTTAATTGGATTTGGTGACTTGTGAAAATTTTTTATTATGATTGCCTCATACTAAGTTATAGGAAACCCAAGTCCTTGAAATTGCATGGAATTAGTTTAATTTAGTGAATATAATTTTCATCTAAATAGTCTTAAATCATTAGTTTGTAGAGCAAAAAATATTATAACACATTGTAACATATTGGATGGTTTGGTCACATTAAACGTCGACCATCTCATGATCCGATTAGGAGAGTAGATGTTTTAGATTCGACTTGTGTTAAGAAAGGCAAAGGTAGACATAGGAAGACTTGGGCTTCTTGTATTAAAAATGATTTTAATTTACTAGAACTTAATGAAAATATGACACTAAATAGGACGGAATGGAGAAAAAGGATTCATGTAGCCGACCCCACGTAGTGGGATTAGGGCTTTTGTTGTTGTTGTTGTTGCATTGTAACATATTGGAATCACGATCAATGATGCAACAACCCTATGCCTTGTAGAGTAACGTAACTCATTCTTATTAAGAGATAAGTATACCAACCTTTATAACAACTGCATTTCACAGGTGATTGTGGTAGGATTTACCCCCAAGTGTTAAATTATTGATATGCATCATGCATGCATTAATTTCTCGCCAAATATGCCTTAGAAATGCATCTTTCCTAGTGTGTTAGCTTTGGCTGCTTCTTTTTAATAGTTTAAGACGGCAATTGCAATCTCGATGTCATGTCACTTATATGTTGATATGTGACCGTGAATTTGAAGCAAATATAAGTTTAAGATTATCCTCAAATAAAATTTTGTGATACATAGATTTTATTTTAGATTTTCGTAGATGAATTGTGTGAATCTTTTCTTGTTTAATTGATGGGGTGTATATACTAATAGATATTTGAATATATAAAATAGACAATTGCACGATGGATTGATTGACAGATGATAATTCTTTGCACCTATTAAATAATTCATAAATTTGAAGAACCAAACAAGGTCAAGCTATGGCAACTTATCTCTAAAAGTTATCTTATTCAAGAACAAGGATGGCCTAAGCACAAGCGTCTCAAAAAAAATAAGCATGCTGACCAAACATTTTGCTTGCATATGCCTATACAAATTTCTCATAACACATATACGAATTCACCTTTCTTATAAATGAGGAAGTAAACCTATGTCTCAAAATGATTTACCTGTATAGTCTTCCCTAGTCCCATCTCATCTGCAATGAGACAGCGCCCACCCCTTTGAAGTCCAAAACGGACACCTTCCATCTGGAAAGGTAAAAGTGCATCTCGCAATGATCTTGGTAGTTTTGTCAGAAGGTCATCAACTTGTTCTTTGGAGTATTGTTGCTTCCACGAAGGTATTAGGCCAGTTGCAGCATAATTTTGAAATGTTTGAATAGCTAATAATGTGGTATATGGAATTTCTTGCAACTCAACAACCAAAGACTTTTTAATGCATTTCAACACTGAATCATAATCCTTCAATTTATAGACCAGAGCGCTCGTGCGGAACTGACTCCCCTGACTCTCACTTACTCGAAATTCCAGAGCCTGTTCATTCCAAAGCAAAGAAAAAATATAGTAAATTTAAACACAAAAAAAATGATTGTAAAACTTGTAAATAGACATCCCTAATTTTTCAACCAATAAATTTTATGATAATACTGAGAAAAAAATATTGCTGGTATTTTTCAAGCCATGACAAAAGTTTGATTGTCAACCCAACCAAATAAAATAGGTAAAGGAGAATAAGGAAATATTTTGGAAAGGCTATCCTAAATGAAATTTGACCAAAAAGAATCTCAAGGTCATTGGATTGGCTATGAGAAAAAATTGATCAAAATATCTAGACAAATATTTTGTTAGCATGCATCTCAAAGTTTTTGGATAGCTTGGAGATGAACGCCATATGGTTGATCGATCAAAAACAATACTGTGTTTATATAAAAGTAAATTCAAATATTTTGAGATCAATCCAAACCAAATATGAGATAGGATGTTCAGTAATTCTTGTATGCTAATCATAGCTCGGACAACAGACAAATTCTACTATTGCCACACCAAAAGAAAAATAACTTCCACAATTATCATTTATATACGACAAAGCAAGTTCTTAGTGATATAAGACTCCCGCTAATATAATCAATTCAACTGGGCTAGACCCATGAATTTTCCCCTTCCATTTCACATAAAAAATCATATGTACTTTATGAGCTATTCTGATCTTATCCATGCAGAAAAGCATTCAATTAACCCCCATGCTTAAACTCTCTACAACCTTGAATGTTCCAGCTCACAATAATATTTAAGTGCTCTAAATCTGTCTCGATTTTTATTTTTATTTTTAGGCGAATAGGTATTACTACAAATTTTAGTCAGAATACTTTCTTTTCTGTTTTTACACTTTTTTTTTCTAATAGAACCCAAAAACCATCTATGAAATAATCTGCTTGATTTTCTTTTTAGTTTAAACTATCAGTCGGACTAATTACTTAACTTTATTTCTGTATAGTTTCTTTCTTAATCTCCCAATAAATATGCAAAATAGCTTAAACTCAGAAATCCTGCAAAATTAACAGAAGATGCAACCGAGAGTTAAATGAATGGACCGAAGAGATAGCAGCCTCCATGATCCTGAAGCACTCCACATATCCAGGGAAGGCAAACCCCGGCAATGGCTGCGGCAAAACGGAGAACTCGTCATGCGAGCATATCTCGAGCACGACACGGAACCTTTCGGGCAGTTTTGGAGGCGCAGGCCGCCGCAGCGACACCGAGGTCTTATTCTCTGGCTCGGGGCCATCGCACGATGAGGGCGGCGACAATGTTGGGCTTGGGACCTTGCGGCACCTGAAGAGTCTCCAAGGATCCTCGGCCGACCTTTCCTCCGCACGCTTTCGTTTTTCGAGAGCTGCGAGTCGGTTCTCCTCCAACCTCCTCCGCTGCTCCTCGGTGATCTCCATTGAAAGCAGAAATGTGGGTAGGAATGGGTTAGGGTTTATAGGGATCGGCGGACATGATTATGGGCGGTCGATGAATGGAGTTTAATGGAGAGTATGGTATTGAGCGGAGAGGAGGGGGATGGAGCTTTTTTAGTCTTTAAATTTTTAAATGCGACATTTAGAAACATACCACCTAATTGCTTTGTGTTTACATATTTAACGTCTAAAATTTACTTTTTATATTTACAACATTCAAATCTCTTGATATCACTTATAATGAGCATCATTATAACTTTTAAAAGCGAGATATGTATTTTCATGCATGAAATAAATTAGAATATAGGTAAAAATTAAAGTTTAAGAATCAGACATATAAATACATGGATGTTTGATCATAATTTCATTTGAGAATCACCCTCGGAAAGCTAGAACGAAATGAATGAGATGGGGAAGAGAGAGTAGAATAAGTCTAGAATTTTAGTAAGGAGAATCGAGTGAGATGCCCCTTTATTGATATCTTTGTTACGTACTTATAGAGCTGTGTTTTGTACAATTATAAAATGAAATAAACTGTTATGGAAACTGTTGTTAATGTAACTGAGACTCTAATTGATTGTATAGATTTTATGTCATCTTTGCATTACAATTTAAATTTTAACATTGACTGTAATTGCATTTTCGTAATTACTTTTATTGCTTAGACTTGTAAAATTTATTGCTTTATTTAAGAATTTGGACCTTATATTTGTTTGTTCTTGGGTCAGTCCATGGCTTCTCAAGTGACGTCCCATCTTTAATGTCCCTTTTTTAAACATTTGTTCCTTTCAGGCGCTCCTAATGCGTCGTCCAGTCGAGCGGGCATCGATTATGGTCGGTCTTACCTCCCGATGTGGGTCTTGTCGCTATCTGAGAGGCCAAGTGTGGCCGCCAAGATTTTCAGAGAGGCAGAGGGCTGCCCGGTGTGGATCTTGTCGTTAGAGAACAGAGGGTTGCCCCTATAAACCTCATTGTTCACACTTTGCATTGGTTCGTGGCCGAGGGGTCTTTCTTATTTCGCTTGCTTTATAAGTCATAGCCAGCTGACAGTGTATTCTGAGGGACTAGCTTGTTAGTTAGATCTCTCATAACTAATGGGCTTTTATCATTTTACATGATCACTTAGTCCTCCCAAGGATGTACCCCCGCCTTGCCCAATCGTGTGGGTCATTAGGATTTCTTGTGGCTTCTTTTAGAGCCTTCAAAGACTTGCCCCGTAATTGCCCGAGAGTATGGTCCTTCACCCCTTCATCCGCCATCAGTATGGATCTTATCATCACCTATGGGGGGTGCATCCACATAAGACTTTTGAGGGATCTCAGTAGCTCTTCCTCGATCTTGTTGTTGGTGAGCAAAGAAAACACTCGGGGCACTCTAACTTGTAGGTCTTGCCAGGGTGTTTTTACCAAGGGATAGATTTTTTTTATAATCTTGTGATGCAATCGGCTGACCATCTTCTGAGTCCCTCGAGTATCGGGCAAGGTTTGAAAACATAAATGATCGGGCTCAGTTCCCCGAGTATCACGAAATGACCCGCAAAGTCAATGCTTCTTCAAATAAGGGATGCTTTAAAGATCGATTGACTATCACATTCTTTTCCTTTTTCAGGAAATCAGTTATAAAGATGTCTTAACAATGCCTGGAACTATTCTCATCAGGTGGGCTCGTCACCTGCCTTTTTAATAGAGGGTTAATGTTGTTGACCCACCAACTATATACAAGGGGGAGGAAATACTCAATCTCTCACCCATTCATCATGCGAGTAAAAATTTTGTGAGATGCTTGACTTTTCGCTTGACCGGAGGTGGAGGTAATCTTCCATCGACGGGAGTCGAGGAACCGCCGAGGCTCATGATTTTTAAATTTATTTTTTCTTCGAGTTGTGTGTCAAAAGGAATGATTTTCTCAGAGTCGGGTGTTAAATTTCACCCGAGACAAGATAAGCTCTCAGCAAAAATCCTTTATACAAACAGATGTAATGGGCTTCAAAAAATGGTGGAGGCGAGTTCACTTCCCAATGAGGTCAATACGTTCGTTTGACCATTGTTGGTTGATATCCAGTAGTTTTCAGATCCACAGACCCCCACCAGTAGCGATTTTTCTCCTCCCTTTTCCCAGTCACTCCCATCGTGAGGAGGTTGAGAAGAGAGAGGGAGTTCGGGTGAATTTGCCCTCCCCCCCTCCCTTCTAATTCATATTTGGGAAGCTCGTGGATGCAAAAGAGATTAAAATGGAGTAGAGTGTCAAGAACACAGAACAGAGCTGAAACTCTTTGGGGAGAAACAATAGGCCGACTTTTCGCAGGGCTCTCGACTGTGGGCGGCCCTTTTTGCAGTGGATGTGGTGATTCATTGGTCCAACATATTCCTAAGCAAAGCCACATTCTTCTATCTAAAGATATGAACTTGAAGTATTATTCTCTTGCTGGCCGTTACGACCGAGCTTTTTCTCGTTTTCCCAATGGTGATTGGCATGATCTATGCTCGGATGGTGTCCTTTTAAGGAGCTGAGCGTCTGACAATCCACGCAGGGCCTTCGCTCTTTCTAATGTATTTTCTCAATCAAAGGGTGAACTTAGTATGCTTGTCGATAGAAAGTGTCTTGTATCTCTCAATTGGAATGAATAAAATCACCCTTTTTATTGTATTTCTGACCTGCTTCACTTTCATCGTGCTCTATTTTTGTGGCTCGTCATCTGTTTCGTTGTTATGTTGTTGGCAACAAGTCGATTGTGTTTATTTCATCACTTTTGTCCATAGTTTGATCAGTAAGGAAACTCGTTCAGCGGTATTTGGCCGGGTAAAATTCCTCGAGTCTCAGGACCACTCCGCACCCGACACTTTTGCTGACGATGCATTAAAGGATGTTTGATGGAGACGTTTTGTTTCCTTTTCGGGAAATGAAATGTTGTGTTGTTTCATCAACGCGCTAAGTCAGCGATATTTTGTAAAGTAGTCAACACACACACAAAAAAGACTTTTCTTCCCTGTATAAAGGGATGAGAGGTTCAACATGTCCTTTCCTTTTCAACATGAGTGTCAGAATCATGAGAGAGGAGAGCTATCAGACAACTCCTTACACAGCCGGTGGCGGAGGAGAACCTCTATTGATGCGGGTTCTCACTGTCTTGTGGTCAAAGGCTCCATAAATTCTTTTTTTGTGAGTTGACCATCAAAGGTGAGGGTGTTCTGCAAGTCGTGCATCGAACCTCGCCTGTGTCGAGTTAGGTGCCCGAGCAGAAACCCTTCTCACGAAAGAACGGAATCAACTTCTGCAGGGGTGCTAAACTCACCACCTCAGTAGGAGAATGTGTTCTTTTGATCGTTACTGTCGGCCGCGTGGGGTTCATTATGTCCCTCGGTGCCTCCTTGTCTGGGTTTCCAAGAGAAAAACATGACGCCTTCGGTAGCAACAGGTTTGGCTCCCGCACGATCTAGCTATCAATGATCGTGTTATATAGTTAGAACTCGCCTCCCTGACTCACTAGAATGTGTCTTGTACCTCCCAGTTGGAATGAATAAAAATACCATTTTTATTGTATTTTTGGTTTGCTTCACTTTCCTCGTGCTCTATTTTTCTGGCTCATCATCTGTGTCGTGGTTATGTTGTTGGCAACAAATCGGTTGTGTTTATTTCATCACTCTTGTCCCTAGTTTGATCGGTAAGGATACTCGTTCAGCGGTATTTGCCCGAGCAAAATTCCTCGATTCTCAGGACCACGCCGCACTCGACGCTTTTACTGACGATACATTAAAGCATGTTTGATGGAGACGTTTTGTTTCCTTTTTAGGAAATGAAATGTTTTGTTGTTTCATCAATGCGCTAAGTCAACAACATTTTGTAAACCCCCCCCCCCACCCCCCAACACACACGCACACACACACACAAAAAGACTTTTTTCTTCCTTGTATAAAGGGATGAGAGGTTCGACATGTCCTTGCCTTTTCAACATGAGTGTCAGAATCGTGAGGGAGGAGAGCTATCGGATGGCTCCTTACACAACCGGTGGTGGAGGATAACCTCTATTGATGCGAGTTCTCACTGTCTTGTGGTCAGAGGCTCCATAAATTCTTTTTTGCGAGTTGACCATCAAAGGCGAGGGTGTTCTGCAAGTCGTGCATCGAACCTCGCCTGTGTCGAGTTAGGTGCCCGAGCAGAAACCCTTCTCACGAACGAACGGAATCAACTTCTACAAGGGTGCTAAATTCACCACCTCAATAGGACAATGTGTTCCTTTAACCGTTACTGTCGGCCGTGTGGGGCTCATTATGTCCCTCGGCGCCTCCTTGTCTAGGTTTTCAAGAGAAAAACATGGCGTCTTCGATAGCAACAGGTTTGGCTCCCGCACGTTCTAGCTATCAATGATCGTGTTATATACTTCGAACTCGCCTCCCTGATTCAAACTCATGTAAGATAAGAAAAGACATAATATTTGTTGCAGAGCAATATTTTTATCCCATCCAACTGCTGTCATTTTGTTTAGTTCAGGTTTCAAGATATTTTCTCAGAGTTTTTCTCTGGATTCATCATGAAATTAAGGAAAGCCAACCACATGCACTTTCTTAGCATTTCATATTAAAGAAATCCATATTTTTTGCATTTTCAATTAATTAGCCATCAAAGGATTTTAATTATTTATTAAATTCATTTGATTCACATAATAAAAACTCTTGGTAAATTCTCTAAGACATTATATTCACTGTTTACATTATTTAAGATCATTAATGCATTATTAAAAAATCATAGTATTTCATGCATAAAATACCAAAAACATAGAAAATATTGGGGATAATTAGTACGTGCACATACACCTCTCAAATTGTTTAAAAATTTAATTTCATTTGTTATATTTAGTGGTAGCACCAGCAGTGATGATAATGATAATAATGATAATAATAATAATAATAATAATAATAATAATAATAATAATAATAATAATGAAATAAATTAAACAAATTTTTAAAATAAAATACTTACAATTTAGATGTGTTTAAGAGATTTTTTGAATAATTTTCTTAATTATTTGATGTACGGTTAATCACTTTGAAAAAAAAAACACTGAATGATATAAATATTCGTCGAGTTATTTGGATTTTATTTTTCAAAATGATTCGGGTTTTTTTATTACTTATGCATCGTTAGCATTAATTATAAGAATTATGAAATAGTTAAAAAAATTATGTTAAAGGACTTAGAGTCTGTTTGAGGCGGCTGCAGTTGTTTGAAAAAGTAGCTGTGAATCTCCTGGATAATAAAATATTATTTAAAAGTTACGGTGACTGTTACAATAAATATTTTTTTTTTGAAAGGCCAGACAATATTTTTATATTATCCACCGCACGTGGTCAGATTTGGCTGGAAAACGTAGTTTTAAGTTGCAGTTTTTTGAGATTACAATCAAAATGCAGGTTTGTCAAATAGAAAAAAATTGTGTTGCGGTACCGCACCGCCACCACCTGCCCCAGACACACCCTTATTATACCTGAATATTCTTAGTTTTATATGCATTGGACATGTATGAATCATGTTATGTGAATTACATTGTTAAATTTATCTTAATAATAATAATAATAATAATAATAATAATAATAATAATATGATGATGATGATGATGATGATGATGATGATGATGATGATGATGATGATGATGATGATGATGATGATGATGATGATGATGATGATATTAAGTTTCCTTAGTTATCTAATAATAATAATGAGATTGGCAAATCCATAAGAATTGGGTCCATAAGAATTGGGTGTTATGTATGTAGTTTTCTCTATTTTTTAAGTGATATAAAAGGTTTGGGTGGTAGAAATATAAGAAAATATAGTTTATATATTATGCATGCAAATACATTTGAATTAGGTGGTATTTATGTAAATATCCCTATAAATAAATAAATAAATAATGAAGTATCAAATTTAGATGAGGTCATTTTAGTCTCAGAGTTTATAGAAATGTCATTATGTCAAAATATTCCTCATAAAGAAGGAAAAAATATTACATCAGGAGTTAGTGATTAAAAAATGCATCATAATTTCAATCACTGTCTATTGCGTGTACAATTTGATTTTGCCGTGTATTAAATTATTTAATTTTTTTTTTACTAAGGGGACATTGACTGTACACATGACAGTTAATGATTGAAGTTTTGATGTACTTTTACATGAGGACTCCTGATATAACATTAGGGTCTGTTTGGGGCAGCTGCAACTTATCTAGCTTATCAAGATAAGCTGCTCATCCTGATAATCTGCTGATAAGCAGCTGATCCAGATAAGTTATCTGGCTGTTTGGTTTTTGCGTTTGAAAAATAATTGATTCTGAATAAATGACCATTATGTCCGTTTTTGATAAATTTTTTAGTTGTTTGATTTAAGTGTTTGAAGAACAACTGATTTGCATTTTTTTGTAGATAAAAGACCATTCAAACAGACTCAGTGTTGCGGTCTATAATATAACTTTAACGACTACACATCTGACAGTTGAGAACAAAAAAATATCATTTCATAACAGTACAAAATTATGATAATTTTAATAATTTTATTTAATTATTTCATATAGCAATAAATAAATGCTGCGTTCATGCTTCCCGCCTGGCTTCGATGATTCCAAGGAATAAATGCATGGACCTAAATTGAGCAATTTGTATTACAATCTTCTTTATTAGAAAAGGATGACTCTAAAGATAAAATTATTTAATTTTTTTAAAGCAATCATCAAATGATTCATCTGAAATTAGTATATTTTTTCATTAGTTCTTCCTTTAACCTTCATCAAACACAAGCTAATTATTGTTGACCGTGAAAATAATAAATAGAAACTAACGAAGGGTCAGAAAATAAGTAATCAACGTGAAATTTTGCCTGATCTAAGAAACACCCGAAAGAAAAAGGTTCTCCTTTGTTCTCCTCCCCGCTTCGTCTGCTATGCCGCAACAAATAACACACAGAAATCCCTATGTCTCTCTCAGTGCTCTCTTGAAGCCGACCCTTTCTCCCCTTTGTTGTTACTGTCTTCCTCCCCAGTTTCGCACGCAACAATACATTTACATCGCTATTCCTGCACAGAAATTGCCGCAAGCCC